TGTTTTTAAAAAGTAACTAAGTAACTAAGTAATTAATTACTTTGAAAATAAGTAATCAGTAAAGTAATGGAATTACTTTTTGGGGGAAGTAATCAGTAATTAGTTACTGATTACTTTTTTCAAGTAACTTGACCAACACTGTCCGCCACACATAGCGTTTTGCATTTTGGACCAAAAGTTCCATTTTGGTCTCATCTGACCAGAGCACTTTCTTCCACATGTTTGCTGTGTCCCCCACATGGCTTGTGGCAAACTGCAAACTGGACTTCTTATGGTTTTCTGTTAACAATGGCTTTCTTCTTGCCACTCTTCCATAAAGGCCAACTTTGTGCGGTGCATGACTAATAGTTGTCCTATCGACAGATTTCCCCCACCTGAGCTGTAGATCTCTGCAGCTCGTCCAGAGTCACCATGGGCCTCTTGGCTGCATTTCTGATCAGCGCTCTCCTTGTTTGGCCTGTGAGTTTAGGTGGACGGCCTTGTCTTGTAGGTTTTCAGTTGTGCACTCTATTTAGTCATTAGCACTCATCAGGCAATGTCTATGGGCAACTGACTGCACTCAGACCAAAGGGGGCTGAATAATTACGCACACCCCACTTTGCAGTTATTTATTTGTAAAAAATGTTTGGAATCTGACCACAACCAGTAGGCAACAGCTGAAGTGTATTGCCAAAGGACACAACAACTGAGACTGTCGGCGTTAAAACTAAGTAGCTGCCACCATTGTTGGAAACTTGGCTGGGCCACGCTATGAATTCTGGGATGTGGTGGGCCACAAAGGATACACCCGACCCATCCTTCAAATCTGGGAAAATGAAGGACATATTTGTTGGCCCCATTTGGAGCAGCCTTCGTCACGTCGCTGTAACTAATCGGCCTTCAAATCCGAAGGATGAGGCCCCTGAATTGGGACGCAGCTCAAATCAGTTTACCTTCAGTTATTCTAGCCAGTACCATTGGCTTGAGCTGAGGAATCTAAAACTCAACAGAAATGACTGAGAATTACAAAAAGCTCCCCAATCTTTTGATTAACACATTTATGACTAAATGGCTCTATATAAGAAAAAATATGCAACAAATCCCTTTGTATCATGAGACAAACAAAAGCAAGCAAGCAAGCAAGAAACCCCTCCTCCTGGTTTAACCTGCTGATGACAGATCATCAGTAGTAGTCAGGAGATGCTGGGCGGGCCTTTCCCGCACATGACCTGTGTGCAGATTGAAAACAAGAAAACAAATGACTTAATCCTGTGACATAATAAAATATAAAACAACATGTAACGGAGTATTTGCTTTAATTTGCTGGCTGTTTGTTTTTCAGGCGACTGAATGCTCACACAAACAAAGCCAGGAGAGTCAGTGCATAGCAAATCATAGCAAATAAATATATAGAAAGAATAATGTACACAAAGTCAGTACTTCTGGGACAAGTGCAGAGTATCACAACAGCTCATCCACTTTGTGTCACACTGTGTGACAGAAGAATCAGAGAAGGCACTATTGATCCACACAGGTATAAATACGGGAAACATCTGATCAATAAGTAGCTGATCTGTAATCCTTCCTCTTTAACGGTTTCTAAGTTTAGAGAGTGTCTGTGGGAAAATAAACAGGCGGTCAAAGATCATGCATTCACTGTTATTGTTCAGAGATGAACTTGAACACAGAGCATTCACAGTCTGAAGTGACTTTATTTATGACCAGACAGACACATCTCAGATTAACATCAAACACTTTAAATATCTGAGGTGATCACATCATCACAGACGTTTATCTGACTTTATATGACTTTAAACTCTGACAGGAAGTTACAGTCAGCTGTTTTTGTTTTTTTTTTCCATCAGGTGGACCCAGGCAGCTAGTAAATATTAAATTGAGTCAGTTTGCTGTCCTCAACTTGTTTTGTAGGTGTTTGCAGCTGTATTATCTGACAGCGCGGTCATTTGCGGTATTTGGCGAAGAAGGCGGTCAGTAGGTCTCTGTATGGAGATGTCGAGTGAGGAGTCGACAGTTGCAAGAGTCGGCAGATTGAAGGAGAGCGAAGGAGGAGGTTGTGACTGAATCCCACCAGACTGGAAGCAAACCAGTACAGAGCCATGGACTGTGAGGAGAGACACAGTGAGACACTTTCAGAATAAAACACCTTAATCTGATTAATACACAGGAACATTCTTTCAAAATAAAACCCTGAACAGACACTTTAATCTGATGACCTGACAGGAATGCGGGAGCGACTCAACACGTTCAAACATTCGTTGACTTGGCAGATCTGAACATGAAACATTCCTCAGTCAGACCTGTGTTTATGAACAGGAAACGAGGCAAATGCTGCTTCACTCACAAATGTCGGGAGAACGAGCTCACCAGTGTAAAGCTCGTAGGTGGCAGTACCGACATTTCACAGACTGTGGAGAGATTAAAAACTTTCACTTATATACAGATCAACTTAATCACCTAAACCATTCAGTGGCCATAATAATCTTTTACCTGTAAGAGATATAAGCCAATTAGAGCTCAGATCAGGCTCAGAGAGGGCGGGGCTATGACACTCATGATCAGCTGATGTGAAGGATGAAGAATGCCTTAGAATGCTTAGATTCCATCAAACGTTGGATGGCTGTAAATTTCCTCCAACTCAACGAGGGGAAAACTGAAGTCCTCGTATATGCTCCAGACAGATTTGTATCCCAGATAGTGAAAGCCCTTGGTCCTCTTCCTGTGTATGTTAAATCCTCTATCAGGAATTTAGTTGTCACTTTTGACTCGACTCTCACATTGGATGGGCATGTGAATTCTCTGGTCTGGTCTTGTTTTTATTATTTAAGAAATGTGGCTAAGTTAAGCCCTATTTTATTTTGCCCTGAACTGGAGATAGCTATACATGCATTTATTTCTTCACGCTTGGACTATTGTAACTCTTTGTTTATGTGTCTAAGCAAAGGTTCTCTGGATCATCTGTAGGTTGTGCAAAACGCTGCAGCTAGACTTTTGACAAGATCCTCCAAGTATTCACATGTGACACCATTGCTATTTCAGCCACACTGGCTTCCTGTTGAATTTAGAGTACATTTTAAGGTCCTGGTCTTGATATTTCAATGGTCAATGGTAACTTTATTGTCCCTAATGGGAAATTGATTTGCAGTATGTCCGTACAAACAAACAGACAACCAACACATCACATACACTCACCAAAATAATATAAGCCTGATAAAACAACCTAGATTTTTCATCAAAAAAGTGCAATGTGCAATGGCAACAACACTTATGGTTTAGTGTTATTAACTATGATAATAGCACTAGGTACAAAAGACAATCTATGTCTCTTTGTCTTCACTGCAGGCACTTTATAACGACGATCTGATGGAAGCAGTTGAAAATCATTAAAGAGAGGATGATCTGAACACAACAGGACAGAGGTCGCCTTCCTCAGCACCTGCCTGTTATAAAAGTCCACAACCTGGACCTGAGACCTCCCTGAAATATTGCCAGCCACTTTAACCAGGTTGTTAAGTCTGGTCTTATTATTCAGGGCCATATTACCGTACCAAGCAATGATACAGAAAGTTAAAACAGATTCAATAAAACTTTTATAAAAAAAAGAGTCATCATTTCAGATGAAACATTAAAACCTCTCAACCTCCTTAAAAAGTACAGTCTTTGTTGAACCTTTTTCACTGTAGCAGCAAGATGTGACTCAAAGGACAGAGTCTTATCAAGAACAACCCCCAAATACTTATAACTGTCCACTAGGGCTGCTCAATTAATCGAATTTTAATCACGATTACGATCTGGGCTTTCAACGATCATTAAAAATGACTGAGCCGATTATTAGCCCCTCCCTCATTTATCCGCGACACCTTAAAGTGAAAATATTGTCGGGCATAAACCGGTCCGTGGTGCAAAAAAGGTTGGAGACCGCTGATTAAGAGGACCCGAGGGAAGCTCGGAAAGCTAAGTAGAAGTTATTTGGAGAGTGACTGCCGTTGGTTGAAAAGAGAGTTTAAAAAAAAAAAAAACCTTCAGTGGTGTTGCACTATTTTATATTATTTTTTTAAAGTCATTGTTAACCCTTTAAAGCCGGTCAGAGCAGCACGCTCCGTTTTGCGTAACTATTTTTAAATCCCTGTAGAACCTGAACCGT